GATCAGCACACAAAAGGCATACAATGGAGGATGGGACTAACTCAAAACATGGTAACCCAGATTACAATCATTACCCAAGCTGGCCATACCATCTGCAACAGTAACCCTATTTATCTCCTTGCTCATTACGCCTGTTAAAAACTGGATTGTAGTAAAACTAATTTGAAGTGTTATCTTTTCTATTTTTCCATATTCAGCAACCTTTATTATACTTGACCATATGCAATGTACTTGTCAACCTGCTAGTAATATAAATGTACAAAAGCAAAATTTATACCTCCTCCTCGTATTTCTCAATATCTGGATATAAAGCTGCTATTAGGGCATCATAATTTGGATCATCTCTCAAAGAACGTCGACTGGCACAGTGTGTGCGGCAAGCGGGGCACTCATTGTTCCTGAAATTATATATCAAACTAACTGAATAAGGTTGATTGGTCCTCAACTTATAACAAAAAAAATTCCTTTTTTTCAATCAGAGAATCAAAATGCCACTATTACAGAAATCAGAAAAAGTTACGAGAGGTAAAGAACTCAACAGTGCATACCCCATCCGCATTGACTTGTCTATACACTCCCTGCAAAACCTGTGTAGGCATTCCATTACAGTCCTTGTTTTTTTAATAATCCCTGTCAAGCAAAGAGAAATTGGTGAATGAATGCTTACCAGATTGATAAAGCATTATGGATAACAGAAGAGGTAAGCAAGACTCAAGAGACAAAACAAGAAGCAGGAATCACAGTTTTCTTTTTTTAACAAGATCACCATAACATTAGTAATTGTTACCAGTACCACTAGCAATAACACATCCAAATGGCTGCTGATGTTTAATGAGAACTTCTGGGGACAGATAGTATATAAAGCTGACAAATTTAGAGTCTTGGGAAACCATACAGGAATTCAATTTGCATGTAAAACTAAACTAATGTCCTTTCTTAAATAATTGATATATTCAAACAATGGTGATCATATTATGTCAAAATTTCAACATACTAAAGCAATCCCCTAATCATTCAATGTTCTAAGTTCAATAGATACTGGCACGTCCTAAAGAAGAAATTTGCTCTGTATTTGAAAAAATAAAATGAATTTCTCATTTGTGCTGTTGCCAATAGGAATCATGAAATATAGGTTACACTGAGAAAACAGAAAAGAAATGGGTCTTAGGATACAACTTTATTTGAAGATTCCACCACACAGAGCTGATCTTTGGCTGTGGCCCTGATCTCGACGGGCAGGGTACAGGGCTTGGTACTTTATGGTGACTTCTTCTGTACTTTCTAGCAAGGAAGTATATTTTCTTCATTTCAACATATAAAATTCCAAGGAGGTTTTGGTTTTATGTTCAGCAATCACACTTCACAGTTACCAGAGCTTTTAATTTTGTATCAGTAATCACACTTTTGCATGTGGCCATCCTGACTTCAGTCTTTCACGTTCTCTTCAAGATATCTAAGCCAATTCATCAAAGACGAAGAAACTAAAATTGACTTTTTGTTTTATTCAAGGGAAGGGAAAGACAAGAGTTAGATTCGGTCTATGGGTGTGAGGATAACCGCCATACCAGCCCCCCAGGAAACTCAAATTGAATTTGACTTTTTCCAAGTGACAATGTTTTATATTTCAATATTTCTTTTGTCAGACTTGGCATATATATATATATATATATTACATTAAAGGTGGGTAATATTGGAAATTCAAAATATACATTTTAATCTAATGAAAACTATGATTCCATTGACAGGCTTCCATCTTCTGATCTTAAAGTCTAATAAATAAGGTTGGGAAAGAACTTACTCTTATTTCCAAATTTCATCTTGATTATGGACTATAGTAGGAAAAACAAATTATTGGTGTAATTGCTTGTTTCACTGCGGGAAGGTGAGTCAAACCACATACATGTATATTAGAAATATCTGCACCAGTACCAAATCAAGCATAATTGTATACTTGTTTTCACAATATAACGCAAATGAATATGCCACTGTATATTCCATCTCATTTATAGTGTCATTGTTCAGAACTGTGAAGAAGAAGTCAAAAAGACACCTTAGCACATTTGCGGAGGCAGAAAAAAAATGCTCAAAAGCAAGGTTTTAAGACCCAGATTGAGAAAAACAGGAGGCAGAAAGTTGAGGAAAAGGGGTGGTGGCAATTAGAAGGCAGCCTATGGTTTGTTTTCTTGTAGAAGGGGAGTGGCCACCTACTAAGGATTATCCATCACCTAGGAAGTCCTAAATTTTGGTAGTTCACAACCTATCACAGATCCAAAAAATCACTATTCCCCAATGCTTCAAGATACTCACATGGAGCAGCTAGGTAGACAATGTTCATCAAATGAAATTTCATTCAAAAAGTTCAGAAGCATACTATTCCCCAATGCTTCCAGATACATATCCATCCCTCATCTTGAGTAGTTCTGTTTCTCAATACAAAAAGTGTTAAAGTTATCAAGTATTATATTAAATTTTCCAACAATAACATTTTTAGAGAAATTGTGTTCCGTTGTATTGATCCTTCTGGTCATTTTTCACACCAAACATTGGTAATGAAGAGCATGCTAGGTGGAAGGTAAGGTCCAGAAAGCTTGGGAATCATCAAAGTTGAATACCTTCACCACCTTGTCTCTGGAATTGAATGAATAGTCGTCGTTAAGTATATATGTGTTTTCTACACACTTGAGCTCCCCTTTTTCCACATCAATATCTCTGTCATCATTTAGATCTTAAAATAAGTCCCGCTCCGATGGCCCGACGAGTCATCTACTAATACATAATAGTATTCCTCCACGTATACCACTTTATTTCCAAACAAAAATTAGGATACAGGGATTACAAACTAAAAGAAGTTTTCTTATAAACCCAGAAAAAGGGTGTAATGTAAGGAGGCAGATTTCCCTCTTCATTCTGCAACAGCATGCTAATCCATAGATCACCGAGTTTTTCTCACTATTTTATCTCAAGTCACACCTTTCTTAAGCTTCCCCTTGTTCATCTATCAACTAAATCACACATCAATAGTTGGTTTTGGTTTTATTTAACCCTTGTTTCCAGATCCAGATTATTCTTGACCCACAAACTATTGTGGTTGACAAGATGAGGGATGTATGGAGCCAACCAAATTATTCAAATGGCAGGCCCTTGGTTTGCCAAACCCACTTATAAGCATCAAATTTGGAATGCATTCTATTGGCTTGAATTTGTCCTTCTCAAATCAACTCTTGTATAATTTTAAACAAATGATAGTTTTACTTACTATCTAAAATAGCTAAGTACCTAGAATTTGCCTCAAAATAGACCACAGTGCATTTCATAGTTTGAAAACAGTGGTAGAACTACAGAGAACACTATAAGAATCAGCACTTAACTACTTTTAATAATAGGGAATTCATTCTCTGCATCACTGAGAATCCATGTCAAGCAATGCAGGATTGCATTTCAACAAAAAGAAGTCAGTGCATAGCTACAAGAAGAAGCCAGTGCATAGCAGAATCAGCAGTTAACCACCATCAGAAAAAAGAAATGTGAACTAAGAATTTTGATAGATATATACATGCATGAATCGTTATAGCACAGTAATTAATTGTTAACATACCACTTTAAAGTTCCAGTCAAGCAACACTCATATGTGAGATCAACATAGAGGAGTAAACGATATCATGACACTTTCTATTGAGGTACAGAGTAAACATGCGTCATTAAACTTCCTCTTCTACTCAGTGCTATATGTTTTATGGGGAGGGAAAAAAAGTCTATCTATATGCCACAAGGGGGCATTTCATCAGTTGAGTCCAGTGGACGCATACTAATTTTGTTTTTAAACCATGACATTTCATTCAAAAAGTTCAGAAGCAGAAGTTACCAAGACATATTGGACAGTGTACATCTTTACGAATTTCTGGCAGTTGTACGAATAAAAATCTGCAAGGGAACAAGAAGTACGTAATCATTACCTTGCACTACACTCAGAAGTACAAATGGGTGCAAATTTTTTTTTCTTTTTTTGAAAATGACAAACAGGTGCAATTTTCAATTCATATAGAACACTAGTTGGAGGATACCACCAGGAAGTTCTTATCCACCACCATGACATCAATAACAATTTGTAACAGTACACTACCGGATTATGGAAAATCAGAAAACCAGTACCCGCCCTTTAGAATTAATATATCGACTTTGTAAAAGTAGTACAAGCACAAAACAAGGCTCAGATCCCAACGTTCATCAATCTCTCAAGCATTAATCCTCGTATCTTTCAAAAACTGAAACTTAGGGAAGTGCTTATAACAATACCAAAACTGACAACAACACCAACGACAACTCAACATTCATCGAAACAAATCGGCACTTTGTATCTTAGGACACGTGGAAAACCCATCAACATTCAAAGCATTGAACTTTCTGAAACTGCTCGAAAATGGTAGTAAAATCAGCGAAAATCTACAACTAGCTAGTGCGCACAGAATGTAGCGTGTGTGCACAAGAGAGAGAGAGAGAGAGAGAGAGAGAGAGAGAGAGAGAGAGAGAGAGTACTCGGGTTTTTCTTCAGAAGTAGAAGATGGGCTTCCCTCAGAATCTGAAATGTAAAAACAAAAGCAAATAAATTCAGTCAATCAATCGAAAAACAGAACACGACCCAGATGAAAAAATACATATACAAATACGCGCAGAGCAAACACAGAGAATATGGGGGAGAGAGATGATACGTAACCGCCAGCTTCATCTCGATCGTGTTCCTCCTCTTCTTCTTCTTCTTCTTCATCTTCTCCATTTTCTTCATTTTCCTCTACTGCTACTACTTTTTCTTCTTCTTGCAGAAGTTGGTATTCATCTTGAGCTCGAGATTGCTTGGCTCGTTGGTGGTGGTGGATATGTGTTGGGTCTTCATCATCGCTGTCGCTGAGGCTCTCTGGCAAAGACCGCTTCTGTGCAGGCATTGATGTATTACATACAACACCCAGAGAAGAAGACAGAGAGAGATCGATGGGTGGGCGGGTGTATCAGTTTCTCTTTCTCCGTGGTAGAAAAAGACCAGATGAAGAAGAAGAAGAAGACGATGCTGGGAATGGGAGATTTTCGCTGGCTGCCGCTATATCAATCTATTAATTAAAAGTTTAATGATAATTAAAAAAAGATATAACAAACAAATTATTATTTTATTATACAATGCACACACAGAAGAGAGAGAGAGAGAGAGAGAGAGCTGAGATGAGAAGCGAGAATCAGATCTTACGGCCAAGAAAAAGTAGTACATGTTGCCTTTGTGGACGGGCCTCTGTCTGTCTCTCTCTCCTCATTCCCAATTACCGTCTTCTTTCTTTCTCCATACTCCTTTTCTTTTTGTATTTTCTTTCTTTTTCTATTTGACAAGAAATTCGAACTTAAAGTCTCTGTCAAAATCCGTACTTTATTTTCATGGTCTTTATTTACCACAAACCTCAACACTCTCGTCACCACCACCATCCCCATCCTCACCCTACCACCACCACACGCAACAACCAGAACCACCCCCATTGTCACATCCACCACCACCATCATTAACTCATTTATCAACTAATCATAACTCATTTATAGATTGATGTATCTGTTAATACCCAATTTTAACATGGGGGGCTTCGATAAGCCCAAAACAACCTCTCACAACGAAAAGCCCAATAGATGGCTCGGAAAAGCAAGGCAAGACACAGAAGGACCGAGTCAAGATCGGCTGATGCCATAAGACAACCAACATGACCAAAACGACAAACATGGGTGTCAATAGGAAATACTTTTATTAGGCGGAGAGCGTTACCTCACGGCCTTGCGAATCACAATAGCATTTGTACACATGGTCATGTACTTGCTCGAAAGGCTTAGAGATGCGCCAGCTGATGACGGGTGCTAAATGGTTAAAATCTAACAACTCATAAAATTCCACATCAACTAGTACTCTAGAATCCCACATTGAAAATTTTCTTTGTTATAAAAACATTGCTGTCCTTGCGCATCAACTCTACAATGAGTTTTTTTTTATATTTTTCAACAAAAAAAAATCTGGTTTTTTCAGTTTTGAACGGATGTTTTTTTATATATTTTTCAAAAATAAATTCCAACTATATTTTATTTTTTGGGTTTAAAAATTTACAAACGACTCAATTTCATGCTAAGAGAGATGATTGGGCCTAGAAAATAGAGGTGCTTTGAAGTTGGATTTGGGGAAATATTAGGTGTGGGATTAGACACTTAGCATTGGACTTAAATAAACATAGTCGGTCCCGTCCAGTTTTGTAAGGTATGAAACCAGCATCGAAATCGGTTTGAACTAATTCGATTCGGTTTAGTGTTGGTTTGTTGACTTTTAATCAACACGATTTTTTCCTTATTTTTTCTATACGGTAGCTCGGTGTTCCGGTCTGAACGCCCACCCTCAAGGCAATATTCGTCAAAAAAAGAAAAGACTCAATGGCTATAGACATGGTGGAGTCTTGAAGTTGAAGCACAGGGTCTCATTTTTGGACATTGGATCTTTGATCCATCAAACTAAACTTATACACTTGCTAGTATAGTAGCATGAAAAGCAGCAGTATGAAAATACACCTGATGACAACCACTACTTGCTTGCTCCAACAGCAAGTTTCTTCAACAAGATTTAAGAATCTTGTGAACTTTTATAGCAGCTCCGTGAAATTGCACAATTTATTCTCATCAAGGTCTGAAATAGATTCAGCAGTTCAAATCTTAAGCCACCAAAATGTCACACTCAAAGCATTCTGCTAACAAAAGAACACATCGGAAAAGCGAGCAGCTAATCTGAAGGTGCTAAACGTTTATTCAATTTCCGGCATCGAAACGTTCGTTCAATTGGAATTTTTGCTTCACCTAAATAGAAATCCTGAACACATATCTACCATGGAACTCTAAAATTATTATTACATCTCTAGGATGACAGAAGAGAGAGAGCATGCTTGATAAATCTCATCTGATCTGGAAATGCTTGTAGGTGGAATTTCCTTGAATGGTTATGCGAATTCTTCCACTATTATCACCCTGGCCACATCCATCCTTTAACTGAGTGCCTGTACCATCGCGGCTCGGGCCTTCTGCATGAGACTCGACTGAATTCTTCCTTCGCCGTTCATTGTGTCCGGCCAAACGCCTACGGCAACTCCGTTTGGTGTCATCAAATTCTGGCAGCTCATGAAATCTGCAACGCAGCATTTAACAATGTGTAAACACATAGGGTAACCTAACAACAAAATCATTTGTGGATAAGAGCCAATGAGTATTGCCACATCTAAGTCTAACAGTAAGAAAGAATATTCATCCTCCGTGGAAGGCTGTTAAAAAACAATCCCAATAGAATCACTTTATATAGCAAAAGACAATTTTCTTTTGTAAATTATTAATATACTTTAATATACTTGAACTGAAGGAATCTTCAACTAATATTATATAAGAATAATAAATAAATAAATAAAAATTTCAAGCAGGCATACACCAGCAATTGCAAACTGAAGTGAGATACAAGAAAATAAGTAACAACTAAAGACCAGAGTCCATCAACACTAAGCTTGTTTCCCCAAACCCATATAGAAGAAACCAGCAACTACAGAAGTGCACAAACTTTTCTGCAAAAGTCGTAGCAAAAAAGTGTAAAACAAACCAGAAATTCCACACCCCAGAAACAAAACCAAACACAAAACAGAGGAAAAAAAAATCAAACAGATAAAAATAACAAGAAAATTGGATAGCCCCAACCTGCTGCATTGCTGGCAAAACCTTTGCCTCAGCCCAGAAACAAGCACAACCTGAGCCTTGGAATGAAGGTCACAAACCTTATGCCTTCTATGATACTGCTTTGCATCACTCAGATCAGCTGGGCATCTGTCAGCCTGACAGCATCTCGTCCCACCTCCACTTGTGCCTGATCTTTTCACAGAGCCACTTCCACCCACAATTCCTTTCTTCTTCTTATCATGATATTCCAGTTGCTGATGATGATCAAATTCTTCATCTTCCTCTTCCTCCTCCTTGACCACCACATGGGGCTTCTCCATCCTCAGCTGCTTGTTTAAGTTAATTTTACTCATGACCTCCATGGATGCCCCAGATATTTATACGAATAAATAAAAGAAGATGGAGCTATTTTGAAGATGAGCAAGAGGAAGATATTAATGGGTTGGGATGTGGTGGAGGAATAGGGGGAAGAGAAGGAGAAGACTAAAAAGTAAAGGTACAGTGGTAGGAGTGGAAGAGTGAGGACCACCACCACAACCTGATGCTCCATAATTCTTTTTTCCAGGTCTTTTGCCTGTTGTCAGTTTGTTGTTGTACAACAATAATGCATTGGCTCAGAGGAGCTGATAGCAATGGTTCAATTTTTCTTTGGAGAATTTATAAAAAAATTTAAAATATATATATAATTTAAAAATAAAAAAAATAAAAAGAAAAGAAAAAGGAAATTGTTCTTCCAACATTTCCATAAAAACCTGCCCAGGCAATAAGATATTAAGATGGGCTGCAAAGTGGGCAGGTTTTTAGCCACATCATATGTATGGGTTGAGTGCTTCTATAGTGAGTGGAAAGTTATAAGGGGTTTTTTTGAGGGGTATGTAAGAGCCGTTGGATTTCATCCAACGGTGAGTTTTTAAAAGAGGGTGCATATAGAACCGGGTTGAAATCTGACCCGTTTGGAAACCCAACTTCAGCTGAAGATTTTTCCCTATCTGTGAAAAACTCAAGAACACAATCCTCTCTTTTTTAATGTAATGCAAATCCACAATTAGAAAGATCCAAAGCTCCCAAACTCTATAATCGCTCCATTGTTATCAGCTCCTTGGGAGGCCTGCGATCTATGGTATCCTCGGTATGACGATTAATGGCTTTTACCTAGTTATTGCCCTGTTTTGATTCTATGATTGAAGTGAAAACCCCTTCTCTTTTTCGTTCAGCAGAAGAGATTCCAAATGAAAGCAAAGTAGCATATCTCTTTTTCGTGCTGCTGCAGCTGTTCCTGGATTTTGGTAGAGATGGAGTCTCCACTACGAAAGAATCCTCTCTAATGTCCACCACATTCTTTGAAACTGACTGACTTCGGAGCTCCCGATTGACTTTGAGAGGTAAGTTCACTCTTGCTGGATTGATTTTGTTGGGTTTGATTTGTTTTTTGTGAGGGTGAGAAATTTGTCATTTGTGGCATCAATAATGCGTCATTTGCTCTGCTATCAATAATGCATCATTTGACTTTGAGAGGTAAGTTCACTCTTGCTGGATTGATTTTGCTGGGTTTGATTTGTTTTTTGTGAGGGTGAGAAATTTGTCATTTGTGGCATCAATAATGCGTCATTTGCTCTGCTATCAATAATGCGTCATTTGCTCTGCTATCAATAATGCGTCATTTGCTCTGCTATCAATAATGCGTCATTTATTCAATATACTTAGTTGATTATTTTTGTTTGGAGGGGGGTTGGAAAATTATGAAATGTAGGTAAAAGATCCTAAACTTAGGCTTAATGGCATTAGAAGTAAGCATTTGGAGAGGATATTGGGTGAAGTTCTGTAATTGCTGGTTTGAATTACATTTGAGTTCTTAGTTGAACATGTTGGTTCTAATGTTATTTTTTCCAGATTATTTCACAAGAGATGACGTAACTATTATTAAATTTTGCTTGTGTTTTGTGTAATCAGAATCCAACAAGCTAGGCTATGCGTGTGTCAATTTGGGCAATGTTTTGTGTAAGTGGAATGCATTGATAAGTTGTGATGCAGTAATGATTGATTAATGAATTAACATTTGCTATGCAGTAATATAGAAGTAGATCAATAATATACGTGGATAAAATGTCTGTGGGCTCAGAGAGTGATGACTCTGTAACAGCTAATGGGAAGGTTTACATTCCTGAAGTAAGAAATGAGGAAACACCAGCAGTTGGGATGAAGTTCGACTCGCTTGACCTCGTTTATAATTTCTATAATAGATATGCATTCTTGGCTGGCTTTGGTATTCGACTTCATTCCAGCTTTTGGGGGAAAAATAAGAAAGAGATTCTGAGAAAAGAATTTGTATGTTGCAAACAAGGTGCATACCGGAATGATGAAACTCGGGAGAGAAAAAGACAGCGGGGAATAAGTAGATGCAATTGCAAAGCTAAGATTGTGGTTGTGAAGACACATGGGAGCAAGAAGTATACCATCTCTCTTTTTGCAGAGGGACACAATCATAAGATGACACCCTCAGGAAGAATGCATTTACTGAGATCACACCGTCGTATTTCAGATTCTACAAAAGTACTTACAAAACAGTTGGGTTCGGTTAATATTCCCATTAATCAAAAGGTAAGTATTTTCGAGGTGCAATCCGGAGGAATGGATAAAATCGGTTTTATAAAAAAGATATGTACAATCTTGAATGTAGTGTGAATGGGAAGCTGAGGAACCACGATGTTGAACTAGTGACCGAGTATTTTATGGCTGAACAGAAAAAAAATGAGGCTTTTTATTTCAAGATTGAGGGAGATGGCGATAACAGGTTTAGTCGATGTTTTTGGGCAGATGCAACTTCTAGACGGGCGTACGGGTTTTATGGAGATGTTGTTGTATTCGATACCACATTCAACACGAATAGATACGACTTGACATTTGCACCAATGTTGGGAGTTAATAACCATGGTCAAACAATTGTCCTAGCATGCGCATTTTTGAGCAAGGAAACGACTGAGTCGTTTATTTGGATGTTTGAGGAGTTTAAGAAAGCCATGCCAGGTGGCGAACCTAAAACGATCATCACAGATCAAGATGCGGCAATGAGCAGAGCGATTTCAATAGCCTTCCCGACTACATTTCATCGACTTTGCGTATGGCACATCACATCAAAGTTCTCTGTTAAGTTACCACATTCTGCTTATAAGGAGTATTTGGGTGAATTCCAGAAAGCCATATGGGATACTGACAATAAGGATGAGTTTGATGCAAAATGGAATATTGTGGTTACAAAGGCTGGTTTGACTGACCATCCATGGCTAAGTTCAATGTTTGATTTAAGGGAATCTTAGGTTCCAGCCTACGCACGACACCCAACTGCTGGCAAAAAATGCATAAGTATCTTGTGCTGAAATTCTCTTAGTGTTGTGTTTGAATTTGTGGATATAGAAGAAGACATTTAAACTGAAATTCTCAGTGTAAATTGTTTGAGATTTTAGAGATGGATAGACAAATAAAGTATTGTTTACTGTCTGCTTGCATTTTGCCTCTGATGTATGAACAGGAGGTTTATTCTTATTTTTCAATCTCATTAAGTACATATCCTTGAGCAATCGGTTATCAGGTAGAAATGATGTCGGAGGATATTTATCATCTCTATGTTTGTCGACCTCTGCTTGTTTTGGACTGTCCCAATACCAACTAGTAGTTCTGTTTATTTGCAACTCAACCTGACTTATCTTTAATCTCAACTGTTTGGGGTTTGCTACATGCCCCCTTAAGGAACATTTGCCGTTTATATCCTGTTCAGTAGTCTTGTTTCTAAGTTTGAATGTATCAGTGGTTCCTCCTTTTTTTAATTTTTTATTTAATTAATAATAATAATTTTTTTAATTTCTTCCTTTCACTCAAGAATTAGACCTACTACCAACCAACTTCAACACTGCCCTACACTGTCGCCACGGCACCACCTTAGCAGGAGTCAGAATCTTTTTCCATTTCAGAATCTTCTTGGAGACTCAGAACATTCTGATTCCATTAGATAAAATTGGGTGTTTCTATGTTTTAATTTTTCTGTCATTTTATCTATGGATGCTCCATAGAATGCTGGAAGGTCAATGTATTCCTGCTGATTGTCCAAATCGTGGTACTCACAGGTTGTATGAAGTACCAGATCATAGGTTGCGCAGGTCAGGGTGGTTTTGCTCAAGTGTATAAAGCATATGTCAGCTGTAATCCTGATGATGTTGTTGCTTTGAAGGTAAATTCTACCTCAGACTTCGTACTCTCCTAATCCTGACCAGTGAATTACTGGATAGTTTCAGTATTTGAAATTTTTGGCAGATACAAAAGCCTGCTTTCCCTTGGGAGTTCTATATGTATCGTCAACTGGATCAACAGATCTCAGACAAGGAAGTATGCATTCCTGATCCTCCGATTCTTTTGTTGTTAGTTGCTAGTTCTGTTTATTTTACACTTTATATGCCATTGTATCAGAGGTCAAGCTTTGGTCTTGCTCATAGAATGCATCTCTATTCTGACTGTAGCATACTTGTCTGTGATTGTCTTGCTAATGGAACATTTCAGGTTGGTTAATCATATTGATACCAATTTTCATGCTGGCACAGTTGTTTCTTGTCATGCTTATTATAACCTAAAGATCTTGTGTAGGATGCAATAGGCTCATTTGCAGTCATTGGCAAGTCCATGGAATAAGTGTTATGCATTTATTACACCATGGAAATGCTCTACATGCTAGAAACTCTGCATGGTGTTGGCATCATTCGTGGAGATTTCAAGCCTGATAATTTGCTTATTCGTTATGCTAGGTAAAAGCCATTATCCATGGTATATCTTGAGCGTGTTACAGTGTATTACAGATAAGTTTTACAAAATAGCACAATGGAACTTGAACATAAAGAAAACTGGACCTTTGACTACTGATATATTTTACTCACGATCAGCCACTTTTTTTTTTCATTTTCCTTCCTTTGTTCTCTCTTAGAGGCTACTACTTACTTGTAATATTGAGTCGCATTTGTTCTTTTTCTTATCTTATTTTTACTGCTCTATCTGGTTATTAGACATGTTTTTATAGCTTTAGTTTCTATTAACATTATCCTACGCTTGCATACAGGAATGACTTTACAACAGATGGATTTTGTGATAGAAGTGGTCCCTGGCATGATCAGATTAGAAGTTTTTTTGCATAAGACTAATATTCAGTTTAGGTTTTTACGACTAATATGGGTACTATCTTGCAGGGTCTTTGCCTTGTCGACTGGGGAAGAGGGATAGATATGCATCTCTTTCCTGACAATATGGAGTTTAAGGGAGATTGCCGGACTTCTGGATTTCGTTGTGTGGAGATGCAAGAGAATAGGCCATGGGCTTTTCAGGTAGTCTTCGTTTTATTTTGCACTGTAAATTCAGCCAACATTTTTGTATCTAATTTTGCTGTCACCTGTTACCAGGTAGACACATATGGCCTCTGTGTTGTCCATTTGATGCTGCATAATTCTTACATGGAGATTGAAAAGAAACTATCACCTGAAGGTGGTTACATTAATCAATCCAAGTCATCTTTTGAAAGGTACTTTTCTCAGTTCTGCATACTTGGCCATTTGTTTATCATATCGATTTTTATTTTTATTTTTCTGAGAGGGGTACATCAATTTTTCTTTTTTCTTTTTTAACACTTGATTATTAGCGCAGTCACCTTAGAAATTTAGGGTCATAACATAGCTGTGCACAAACAAATAGATGCACTTATTCTTTTCATCTTCCATCTCTTAGACCTTCACCCTTCAGTTTGTATTTTGACGATTTTGATTTGTAATCTGATCGTTCAAATGAGTTCAGATATTGGAATGCTGAACTCTGGAGGAATTTTTTAATGCTGAACTCTGGAGGAATTTATTTACAAAACTGCTTAACAGTGGCCCCCACGCTAATTACAAGAAGTTGCTGCAGGATTTGAGGGAGTCCTTCCAGGATTACATGTGCTCGGACCCTCTGCTTATAAAGAAACTTAGCGGTTTACTGGTTAAGCAAAGGGCCACAATGGGTGCTTAGTGACCCCATCATCCCTCCTGATTTTCTGTTCTTTAAACCTTTTATGTAAATTCAAGTGCCAAACTTTGTCTGTAGATGTGCACGTGTAATTTGTGAAGATGTATGTTTGTCTCCGAAGAAAAGAGATGTATGCTTGAATTAATCATTCAAATACTTTGCAAGGACCATATGGTATTCTCCAAGGCTCCCATAGATTTCAATCTCTTTATATGAATGAAATTTCATAGACCACTTCTTTGGCATCGAACTCTCATCCATTTAATTACAAGACAGAGAATTAAAATAGAGCAATAATAACTCGAAAGCCTAACACCAAAGCTAACAAGCAACAAGGAGGAAGGAAAAACAAGGCTGGAACATAATACATACAAGTTTCTCTACGACATCACATCTTCATTGAACAACCTTTACACACTCGAGTATTAATTTACAATATCAAACAATACTATACCAACTTGTCCTCTTATTCTGGTTCTTGGATTCCTGGCACTCTTAACTATATGATGATTATTATTATTATTATGTGTAGCTGGGAGCTGTTGTACTAAAAGGCGAAGACCGAGGCGTTGCTGCTGGCACCGCGGCAATGGTAGGGGCAAAAGCAGCTGCACCGCCACCAAAACCACCTTCACAAGGATGTTCAAAGCAGTCAACAGGATGCTCGAGTGTTGCATTACATTCTTTCTGGGACCTCTGGTAAGGCTTCTCTGGCAAACAGTTTTGCCGATCATCAAATGTGATGCCTTTGGATGTCAAATTCTGGCATATCCCCTCTTCCTCGCAGAAATAGTTATAAGAGAATGTGAAATTTGCCAAGTTTGGCAAACAACAAACTCCATCTGGTACAATCCCAGTCATGCTATTCTGAGCCAAATTTAGTTGCTCCAAATGAGATAGCCCTGCCACGCTGTAAGGTATAGGACCAACAAGCTTGTTGTAGCTCACATCCAACACCCTCAATTTGTACAGAAACCCAATCTCTTGTGGCAAACACCCTGACAAGTTTGTGTTGATTAACAACAGTTCCTCTAAAGTATCGGCGAAACTGACAATGCTTGGGGGAAGGCACCCCCCAAAGTTGTTGTTAGCAAACACCAATACACTGGCTGAGCTTCCACCTAAAGTAGCTGGAAGTACGTTGGTGAAGCGGTTGTTATTGACAAATATTGCATCTATGTTTTTCTTGAAAAGTTGTGGAGATAATGGCCCTTCAAATTCGTTGTACCGAAGATCAAGATATTTTAATGTAGGAAGAGAGAGGACAACCGTGGGGAAAGGGCCAACAAATCTGTTGTTACTGAGATCAAGCTCATAAAGGAGTGTAAGGTTGGCCATACTTTGAGGGAGAATGCCACAAAAGCGGTTGCTATTCAGATGGATGAGTGCAAGATCACACAAGAGACCTAATTCCTCAGGGAGAAATCCGGCAATGTTACCTTTATTAAGGTCAATGCCAGCAACAACTTGGATTTTGGGGTCATCAAGAGCAGGTGCACAAAACACACCCTTGTAGTTACAAACTGAAGGACCCACCCAGTTGGACGTGAAGTTGTACGGATCAGAGTAAATTACGCGTTTCCATGCTTGCAAGGCAAGGAAAGCTAGGTGGAGTCTTGGGTTCGAATCATCCGATGCTGCAGCAGGATCAGGATGGTTGTGGTTGCCGCGGTGGTGGTGATGGTGATGAGAGGCATGGACTTTGCTGCTGCCGTGTTTTGCAGCAGCAGCCAGGTTGAGATTGTGGAACAAACAAGATAGGTTTAGAAGTAGGGGGATTGATATTAATGCATGGATGGCAATGGAAGTAAATGAATAGGAAGCCATTCTTCACTCAATACTCAGTGAGTTGGTTCGAGGCGAATATTGAAGACATACTGGCTAAGAGCTGTTTGTTTCTTATATATATATATATATATAAGGGATTCTCTCTCTCTCTTCCATTCAATTCAAGTAATAAGTAAAACCCAGACATAGAATAGTCTGGTCTCATTTTTAATCATATTCTTCATGAGAGTCCGATGTAAACAGATCAGTTTCTTTCTCAGACTAGATGATTGCGCAGAAAGAAGATTCATGTTACAGCGACAGTTAAACCATTTCAAATGCCCCAAAGATAAAGATACACTTTGAATATCTAACAGGCTCACCCTTCACCCTTTAATTAAAATTTAAATGGTTATATCGAAATCGAATTTCTTAGGTTCAATATTGTATTGTTTGTGTACCAAATGAATGTTGTTGTGCTTCACATTTGAAAGAGTATGATGGCAACAGCATTTGACAAAGTTGTACATATAAATTTCTGCAGCATAAGTGTAAGCTTTCTTTGATAAGGATTAAGGACCTACCTCCATCCATGTAGTTTTCACAGTTGTTTGAAGTGGAGCTGGAGAAAGACAGCTTCAACCCCCCAAGACTCAGAGAGGGGGGATTTCTTGAAGCTGAAGGAAGGGTGGTTGCAATTGAAATGCGGCCGGATCAAGTAGTTCAAGATATGCAAGTCATATGTCACAGTCTTCCCTGCATCTGCCTGGAAAATGTGGGCTAAACTATAATCAACCTTTGACAGTACATTTAGACTTTTAGACCTTTAAAAAAACAAAAGGAAAAAAAAGGCACAAACCATGCTTTCCTGCCTTTTGAAGTATTCTAAACTAGTGATTTAAATTGGAGGTGTAGTATTTCGTATTATACCCACAACTAAGGGTTACATGATTTAGAGTTTAGGGTTTACAGCTGTGCCCGCTGCAGAGCACCGTATATTTAAGGCCGAGGTGCATTCTTGGCCTTTCTCGGTTGCTAGTTTCTGCTATCATCTCCCATGTTGGAGCTGAATGATATTGCCGCACACCAAGCATCATAAGACTCTTTTCCAGTTACTTCACGCTAGGTTTGGTAGAGTTTTACATGTCAGGCACACTGTAAAGACCCACCGTAAAACAGTGGGTCCCACACCTATAGAAGATGCAATTACCTAACACCACTCCCAGTTTGATCCTAGAAAAAGAGGTAAAGAGGTTCTACTATTACAAGACATAGGTAAACACAAAGCAGCCATAACCTTACTAAGAATCACACCTGGCCTAACTACATTCCTTTGCATTGGACTTCATTTCTATCAACAAGATCACTCTAAATACAAATATAACCGCTTCTTACAATATAGATTCTCTATACCCGTTGTCTCATTTTTCTTAAGAAAAGACGCGTTAAGAAAATCTCACTTATGCTATATTTTCTTCGACTTGATCTCATTTATTAGCATAACTGATTATCCAAATTTTGATATAAGATTGAAGCAATTAATCAAACACAGTCCCTCTCACCTAAGGGGCCAAAAATGAGGTCATATGAGCAACTCTTTAATGGAAGCCCTTGGATTAATCCAAGGGCACATATTGTTAGTAGTTAACACATCACTTATACTCCTGGTTTTACTGAAAGAACTTTTTAACTATTCTAACTCAAAAACAAATAAATAAATAAAAATAAAAATCCAGATTTATCTTCTCAAATGCAGGAGCTCTTTATTTTAGCAAAATAATAATAAATTGGCGTACATGTTGAATTTTTTCTCTTTCTCCTCGTATGCTGCCCGATTTATCACAAAAATTAATTTATCTTTCAAGCTTTTCAAAGGCATCTCCCTCTCAACTTCATCTTCAGTTGAGACAGGCGAGGAAGGAAGAAGAGATGAACGTGTATTCCTCTTTTTTCTTTTTTTTTTTCTCTCTCTTTTTCTTTTTTTTGTGGTTAGAATAAGAAAAAGGTTTGTTTGGGTAAAACAAGAGTATTTATAAAGGTATAAACTACTAAGAATATGTGAGTTGCTCACACTACCTCATTTTAAGGTCCTTAAGTGAGCGGGACTGTAGTCAACCAATAAGGCCAATAAGGCCAACAAAATAACTTCGATCAAAATTGCGAAAAATGAGGTATTCTCAACACATCCTGTATGTACTTAAAAGTTGAGCTGAACCACAAGAGTCGGTGCATGACGCATCTTGCAAACCAAGACATGCCATCAATTATACAAATCTATCTTAGACCTAAATGCCTAACAAAACCCTTTACGAAAGTAGCAGCAAAGACAGCTGAAACCATGAGGAATATGGAACCAGACAAGTACGAAACAGAATTCGCCACAAATAGGATGTGAAATTTATATACACATAAAAAAAAAATAAATTTTTTTTTTTTTAAAAAAAAAAAAAAAAAAAAAAAAAAAAAAAAAAAAAAAAAAAAACAAATTATTTTTATTCATCGAAAACGAACTAGAAATGCGACTAAATCACTATTAAACATAGTTGTGAGACCAGAAACCACTACTTATTCTCAACAAAGAACAAAGGAAACCCTTATACTACACCCGTCTTAGAGCTAAAGCACACATAGCAAGCACCCAAAATTCAAATTTCTTTCCTGTAACTATGATTTTTCTAATAACAGATCCCTAAACATTTGGAAAAGTAAAAGCACTTCCATTCAGCCAAATTATTCAACTCAGACACAGTGCTTACACAACCACTAATGATTTTCGTCGACATAGCATTTATTAACCACCACCACCAGACCCATACTTCTTGCCAAGAAGTACAACTTGCAGCTTGTCATAGCCAGCAAGCACACCAGCGCCTGCAACAGCACGCAATATGTTTGCTCCAGCACCCTTAAACAGTGATTTAGAACCCTCCTTTTTGATGATTTGCTTAAATGCATCTAAAGAGCTATTGTATTTAACTGCTTCTCCTGAAGTCATCATCATCCTTCTGCGGACTGTGTCAATGGGGTAAGAAGCTAATCCAGCACCAATCGTAATTCCCCATCCCAGCAAGAAACTAGCAAAGAAACTATCCTGTAAATCACCATGAGAAAAACAGCAATGAACATCAACATGCCTTTAATGCATAAATATCTTGGAAGACTAAAGCAGAATTTAAATAGAACATTTGCCTACACTTAAGGGGCACATATTCAAATCCAAAACTGTTGGAAAATAAGCTAAAGGATATTTAAAATGGGATAAAAATACAGAATGAACCCAAATTCCAACACAGCATCTGTGCTAATTGCACAGTACACATTGACCCTTCACCAACTGACTTTGGGCAAGGCAGGCAGTGGTCAAAACAACTCCATGAGCAGCTACATTGCAAATAACTCAACCAGCTGACTGTGTTTCATATTAATGCAAAAAATGCCGTTTTACTAGCCCACAATTTATAATGAACAAAGGAAAACATCCAGAGTATAAGACCCACAAACAAGTCAAATAAGCTCACACACAAAATTCCTAAGGGGGTACAAGTTCAAAATATTTAACATACCTGCAGGCCACCGGTTAGAACAACAGGTTTCAGAGAATCGTACATTCCGAAGTAGAGCCCACGATACACAATAATTCCAACACAAGAGATATTGAATCCTCGATACAGCCCAGCAATACCATCAGACTTGAGGGTTTTCTTGTAAACATCAATCAATCCATTAAACTGCCTCTCACCACCCTTTTTGGCAGCCTTGGCGTCATTTGCCAAACGTGTTCTTGCATAGTCCAGAGAATATACAAAAAGAAGAGATGAAGCACCAGCAGCACCACCTGATGCCAGATTTCCAGCGAACCACTTCCAGTAACCATCTTTATCCTTCTTGAAGTTGAAAAGCCTCTTGAAGTAATCCTTGAAAGCAAAGTTTAAGGCCTGATACACAAGTTTTAACAATTTAGAATGGCAATTAAAGGCCACAAGCTACATGATGCATAATAGAAAAGCTAACACTCCAACACAACAATGCAGATATCTTGAAGTGATCTCTCATATGTTCTTTATAAACAGTAAGCAGACAACATTTACTAGTGAATCAAAATTGACCTGGGTAGGAAAGTATCTGATAACATTAGCAGTGTTTCCTCTCCACAGAGCAAGGACACCCTCATCCTTAATTGTCCGGGCAAAGCAGTCAGTTATACCCTTGTATGGTTGAGAAAGCCGACCAGCCTTGATCATCTCATCCTGATTCTGTATTAGTAGTTTAACACGCTCAATTGGAGCAGCTGCGGTTTTGGAAACAGCAGCAGATACACCTCCCATGAGGAAATCCACAGCAAAACCAGCTGCACCTTTCTCTACTGGAGCCTGTACCATAATGGGGGGCAAAGGAGAGACTTGTGCAAGGGCAGTGCTTTCAAATGTTAGCAGGGGCCTCTGCAAACCTCCATTGGCATAAGCAACAGTCACACCATGGTTTCTTGTGTGCAAGTTGGGGGAAAGCCTAGAAATGAGAGAAGACTGCCCATGTATCTTCTGAAATACCGATGGATGGGATGACCCATCAGCCATGATTATAACTCAAGCCACTGACCTGCAAAAGAATAACATGATTTCAAATACAGCCATGCACCAAGAAGAGGGGTCTGTTTTCTGTAACTGATACATAAAATGACAGGGTAATGAAATAATATAATTCTTCTCACAAGCTTATATAAATGGAATTTTTTCCATAAGATAGAAAATTCTTACAAATTGACAATACAAATATAAACAATGCACCAGAAGATTAACTAGTGGCACGGCCCATGTAGATAATCCCAACAGAATACCTAGCAAACTGACAATACATACATAACTAATGTGCCATATCCTCAATGTGCCCTGGAAATAAATTTCTCACAAGTTCGACAAACTGTCAACATTAACTAACGGTTTTGTCAACTATACATGAGTAAATTTATTTTTATTTATTACATTTGATCATTTTCAATTACCAAGGTGAAATTTTGAAGTGCAAATTATCTCATTTCTGTCTACCCAACAAAATTTTCACTGCATATAAGATTAAGGGAGGAATGTTCGTGGTGGGCATGAGGATAGTAACTAACATTTCTTCTTCTGCCAAAAAACAAAAAAAAAAAAAAAAAAAAAAAAAAATAAAAAAAACCTTAACCTTTCCTTGCTCCAGTATAACCTTTAATTTTCCCAACTTTATTTGTTCTTTTGACCATTGGTCTACACAAAATTGATTACCTTACGTACCTAGCTAAGAACTGAATTGTGATTTTCTCTGAAGTCAAAAGTAAAACATTTTTACAAATTATAAAACCCAAATTTTCATCCATTCAAACTTTCATTTCTCAGCAACCAAATGTAAGTAAACATCCATGCATTCATAAAACAAGAACATAGAGGTGTCAACAACAACAAGAACCAGGTAAGATCAGTTAAAAATTAAACAAAAATGAAGAAGAATACAATAAAAAAAACACGGAAAATGGTCGTTAAGCAGAGCACAAGTCACAACTAGTTTCTACTGGATTTTCTCGGCAACCAAACAAAGCCGAAAAGGTGAAGAGTCAGAGGTGAAGGATCAGAGTTGGAAGAAAACCCGAACCTGAGAGGATCGCAGAGGAACAGAGGCCCAGTGAGAAGAGGAGAGTGAGCGAAGAGGGAGTGTTTTCGATCGGTAGATGGGAAATGAAGGAGATATAAATGAGACCGCATGGGAGGGACGATTAGGGTTTTTTAGAATGACGGTTTTAGCCTGGTTATGCCTTTAAATTAACGACTTGGCCATTCTTGCGCCTTTGAGTTTTGAGTACGAGCAATGAGCAGGCTCTATTTGACCCCGCAATTCACCAGTGACCGGGTTGGTCAAAATGTTAATTTTCCGTCATGTGCTAACTGGACCATGTTTATTCAAATCTCATTGGGTTAAAAAGGCAAGTATATGTTAAGTTGGTTTTCTTTTTGTTTACAAACTACCAAACTAGCCCATCAGTTCGGTTGACCAACCCACACCGATCATCGACTTTTGGTTCAAGCAATTTATCGTCCACAAATTTTGGTCGGGAATCTCCGGTTTCTGATATTTCACGATTCAACTGAACAACAATAAAAAATTCTTTAAAATATTTTGACACCCGCCTGTACATAACCAGACCCTTAACATCGTTTACTCAACTTTTTTTTTTAGTTGAACATAAACATAATATAAATAAATAAATAAAAACTCATCTCTACATCCTACCCATATTACTTCCTCCGCCGCGTCTTTATGGTTCATAGTCGTCGGACTCTTTCATGGTCATGTTCCAAATTCAACTACGATCTCAACATAAAATATGTCATGATGATGATTCGGCGAGCATGGTAGTAGTCTTAACTTTCTCGCAGAAACTATAAGGGACATAATGAGCCTCTCCATTTTCGGATAGTGAGTCTCTGCATTGAGGAGGGCTTTCGAATGGTAGAATACAGGATGTTGTGTCCTCAGCTCTTCTTGGATGAGAGCTGATCTGACTGCTAAGTTGGACACGACCAGATAGACAAACAAATCTTTTCCTGGTACAGGTTTTGAGAGCATGGGAGGTGAAGTGAGGTAGGTCTTCAAGTTTTGAAAAGCTACTTCGCACTTTTCATCCCACTTATCTCTTTGTCCTTTCATCAAGGCATTTAAGAATGGCTTGCACTTGTCGGTGGATATTGAAAGGAATCGGTTGAGAGCTGCAACTCTGCCCATTAGATTTTGTATCTCTTTTGTCGTGGCAGACGACTTCATGTTGAGGATGACATTGGTTTGATTTGGATGTGCTTCGATGTCTCTTTGGGTGACTAAGAATCCCAAAAATTGGCTAGATGAGACTCCAAACGTGCACTTCCTCAGGTTCAACTTCATGTGGTACTTTCGAAGTAGGCTAATGCCTTCGGCAAGATTTTTGATGTGACCTACTTGTTGGAGAGCTTTGACTAGCATGTCGTCTACGTAGACCTCTATAGTCTTGCCGATATACTTTTTGAAAATCTTGTTCACAGGCTTCTGGTACGTTGCTTCTGCGTTCTTTAACCCAAAGGTAGCAATATGTGCTTATTTCGATTATGAAAGAAGTCTTGGCTTTATCGTCTTCATGCATCATAATTTGATTGTAACCGGAGTATGCATCCATGAAGCTTAGTAGTTGGTTACCGAAAGTTGAATCTACGAGCTGATCAATTCTTGGCAAGGGAAAGTTGTCTTTCGGGCATGCCTTGTTAAGGTCGGCGTAGTCCATGCACACTTTCAACTTGTCTTGGTCTTTCTTTACCACTAGAACAATGTTAGTCAGCCACTTTAAGTAGGAGACTTCTTCAATGAAGTCGACAGCTAGGAGCTTGTCAAACTCGGCTTCAATGATGGCAACTCACTCGAGAGCGAACTTGGGTCTCTTCTGCACTACAAGTCTGCTGGCTGGATTGACATGAAGGTGATGGCATACAAGGATTAAAATATTGGCCGTGCAGATAATATCGGGCCTCCAATTTACGGATATTTCGAGGGATATATCGTTATCGTTTTGGGTATCGGGAAAAAATCAACAAAAATGACAGATATAGGCATTGAAACACATAATTTTGGTGTAAAACTTACATAGATGTTATGTACATTGTCAATGAATGTATTGAACAAATAAAACTCAAAATTTACTAATAATAAGATATATATATATATATATATGATGAAATATAAGTGGTATGTAATACGCATTAATGAAAAGTTTGAAAATAAAAAGTTGATTAGAATGAATAAACCATGCATAAATCCATAGTTTATTTGAACATTGGATTACAATTTAGATGAGTGTCCAACTACATAAATGAAGAGCTCCTATGAGGTTCAAACAATGTGGAACAACCATCTAGATTCATACAATAATCATACCAAGTCATGTAACCCGAGTAGTTTGTAAGCCATGTTTGAACATGGTGTACATATGTCTCTCTTGAGCTCCCTACTGTCCTCCCATATATGGGATAGTTAGGATTAACTCAACTAGTAGGTCCATAATCTGTTTTATCATCTTGAGCTCCATATCTAGTTCCACTATAATCAGACATGACATAACCATAGCCATCATAAGATTCATTTGAGTTAGTACTAGGTCTAGATTCTTTTGATGCATACTCTAAAACATGCATACTCCAAAACATCTTTTGAATTGAATATTGCCAAAAGCCTTCACACATATATCTAATCACTACACATATACCTCCAAAAAATCTTTTCAATTTCAATTTGCTTCAAAACTTTTGAATTTTTTTGGGTTTTGTTATGGGTATTGGGAAATATCGGGAATATCGGCAAAATATCGGGGATATCGCACTTATCGGGGATATATCGTCAATATCGGGGAAGATATGGCCTTACCCCCCAATATCGGTGTCGACAGTTCAAAATATCGATATATCGGCCGATATATCGGTGTATTGGCCGATATTTCAATCCTTGATGGCATATGATCTGTGAATTGATGCCTGGCATGTCAGATGGCGACTAAGTGAACACGTCTTTGTTGTTCTGCAGAAAGGCTATTAGCTCCACCTGTTCCTTTGGGCTTAGGCGCGTGTCGATCAACACTTTTTTTTTCTGGCTTATCAGGATCAAGGGGTATTAGCTCGACATCCTCCTCAGGCTTTCATCTTTCTTCAGGAGAGACCTCCGGACTGATTCCTTCGTCTTGGTCCTGAATTTTTAATTCCTATTGGGGAATGGTTATTCCCTTCCCTTTCTTGTCTACTCAATTGTTAGGAAAGGTATTTGCTTCCTCCCCTGCTTGTTATACTCTTTCAGATCTGCTTGACTTATAGGGACGAACTGAGCTTGATTATTTTCTTGAGCCCTTGAGCTGAGCATCTTTTAGCCATTGTCTGGTCGCTATTAATCTGGCTGACACCACCCCAGAGATTGGGTAGCTAATTTTCTGGTTCCTAGCAAAAGTGATGGCATTGATCTTGTCAATCCATGGTCTACCTAGGATACCATTGTAGGGGAAACCTTGTCGATGGTCATGAATGTCTGAGCGCTGATCACTGTTATGGAGTAAACATCGAGCTCTACCGTTCCTACAGTGATCGAGGTTGCTCTGTTAAAGCCAGTCAGCGACCTAGGTGACTTGTTGATCTTGGCCTCCATGCCCATCTATTGGACTAACGAAAGTTGTAGGATATTGGATGCACTACCCTCGTCTACATGAATTCACTCGATCATGGCTTACATGATTTGAATGCTTATGACGAAAGCGTCATTGTGCGGCAAATCAAGCTCAATCAAATCTTTCTTTTAGAAGCCAATCATGGAATTGTCTTCAATTGATGGGTAGTTGATTAAAACTTGGGAGATGAAAATGGCTTGTTTAATTTTCCTATTCTTTTCCTTGCCGATCAACCCAAATTCCTTAGAGTCAGCGAAGATCCTATTAATCCTTATGACCTTCTGGGAAGGCTTCTTAGCGGCATCGCAATCCTCAATCTGTTGGAGGGCTTTATTTGTCACGAACTCTGTTCAATGGCCTTCTCTTACGAGCTTTTCGAAGTGCATCTTCCAAAGAAGACACAGTACTTGTTAGTACTCCTCTTGTGAGGATGTCCCTTCAAAGGTGGGTGGTCTCCTCAGTCAAGACTTATCCTTCACTTAGGCCAAGATTTGATGTATAGGGATAGTGAACTTCGTATAACTTTCATCTGCTGGTGCGTCACTTTGGGATGGTGCTTTGCACTTTCCTTCATAGTTCCTACTGTTGGGCTTATCACCTTTCTGACCTGCCTCCTTGGGTGGTTGTTCAGCTTGCTTAGTAGACTTCTTTATGGCGATTCGATCATCGTCCCAAAGCACATAGCGTTCCATAGTCGTGAAGACCTCTGCTAGAGTCAGCTCGTGATACAGGTCATATGATATGGTAAACCCTTCTTGAAGGCAGAGAAAGTGATTCGATCATCGCATCCCACAATGTTGGCTTTCTCCGCCTTGAATCTTTTGATGTAGTCTCGGAGGGACTCATCATGCTTCTTGCGCAGGTTGAACAGTTGGTCTGCTTATTTCTTGATCTTCCTGTAGGAAGTGTACTCTTTGGTGAAGAGGAAAGCCTGCTTCTTAAAGCAGCTAATCGACCTCGATGGCAGGGTATGGAACCAATCCTAAGCTGCTCCTCATAAGGAAATCGCAAACATGTTGCACATCAGTGCATCTTTGGCCTTGTAGAGAATCATAACACTTTTAAAGTGCTTTAAATGGCTCTCGAGATTGGAATCCTTTTTGAAGTGTGTAAAGAAAGCGTTGAGAATCACTTCGGTGGAGCTACCTACTCGATCTTAGTGGTGAACGGTGAGGAGTTCACTTGGTCAACTTCCTTGTGCAAAGAATCTTTGAAATCTCCTCCAATTTTCAAGTCTCAAAATCAATCATTCACGAGTTTCTCGACATTTTCTGCTTGCACGGCTTGCGATTTAAGTCAGTGTCTCCCATGATGCAGGCATCGCTAGTGTACCTCCTCGTTGTTTCTTCAGAGAAGATCTCGTTGACTATCCTACATGTGTGACATGTTCTTGCATTGAGCTTGCGAGGGACCCTCTGCAGCTTGTCTTCGTGAGTTGGTTCTTCCGGACCAAGCAGGTGAGCGTCTTTCTTCACATATTTCATGGGGATGATTATGAGATCTTCGGGGGCCTAATCTCGTGTGAATGCTTCTTTGCGTGCCCAGTTGGGTGTGAACATCAGATCATGGGCCCAATCTTTCATGCATGTTGATCCTTGGACTTAATCTCAATCGGAGATTCGATCTACTTTGAGCAGGGCTCACGGATGTTTACGACATGCCAACGTGCTGAGCAATATGCTCTTGTCTTTCTCCTTGCTTGTTTGCTTCTACTATACCTGCATGGGACCTCTCGAATCGCTTGCAGGTGTGTTCGTCCATCCTTCTATCTTTGCCTTGCAGTCTAAGGCCAAGGTCTCGGACCAAGTCAATCTAGTTAAGGAGTTGTTCAACCAAGTTATTTTGATCGTCCACTCTTTGATTCAGCTGGCCAACTATAAGATTGAGGTATGCTTAACTTCGTGGATAAGGAGGAGAGAATTTTGTGGAGCCCAATTGCACATGGGCTAGGAGCGTACGTTGAGCGGGGCAAAAGAAGAGCCAAAATTGGTGGTAAAGCCAAGTTGGCCATGAGCAATGACATCGGGTTGCACCACAGCGCCATCATGTTGCTGTGTATCACACCTGATCGTGAGGCCATATGGATGGCGGTTGCTGGAGCCAATCGGCGGTCCTTGCTGTTGTAAGACCGTGCTAGCTGCGGTGGTGGGAGCCATAAAGGAGTTTTTGGCCAAGGGGTCAAAAGGAGGAATGGCAGTGACTGGAGCTGTGTCGGCGTCCACAGTGCTAGGGTGTTGGGCAGCGCATTCAGCAAGCGAAAGTGGTGGATGCCGCGGCGTCATGGAGGCTTGAATCCGTCATGGATTGATTCGTCGCAGTTGTCTTGCTTCTCGTACACTTGCATCCAACCATGGTTGTTTAGAAGGCTTCGATTGAATAAGAGGAAACATATTCCTTTGATTCAAGAACACGCTTTGAGTATAACTCGTTCTCTCAATGAAAGCACCAAAATGTTTGAGCAAAATCTTGCACGGGGAATATTCACAGGTTGATTCCTTGACCTTCGATCTTCCTTCTCTCTCTTCCTCGATCCCTGTGAAATAAATAAGAGTAAATAGACCACATCCGGGGGTTGTTGGCCAAAGGCACTCCGATGCCTAAGTCAGTTCAATTAGACCTTGAGAAAGATACAACAATAGTTAAAGTGGACGAAATTTTCTCTCACGGGGAGAGCCGGGTGGCTGGAGCTGTGTGTGGTGGCCCTTAGCCCTGTGAGGTAAGAGAGTGAGAGGGGCGGCAAGACACAGAGAGAGTGAGGAATTTGTGTAGGGTTTTAGAATTACCTTGAATGCCTTGTGTAGCAGTGTATTTATAGTCTCCTTGTGTGCTAGAGTTTTGGGAGAATAATCCTTATTTGGTTATGATTATTCTTCCCAAAAAGATTATAGAAATTAATCCAAGAGATTTGGTGGAAATTGGTTCCTTGATTTCGGGAGATATTCTTATCTTAAATCAAAGATAATTTTCCTAATTAAATAGGATTTAATTAAGATAATTAGTTGACATAAGGAATATTTCTTTTCCACATGTCGTCTTCTTACTGGCCTACGAAATATGTGTTGCCACACCCATTTCATTTATTTGAACATTGTTTAATTAAAAATCAGGGCGTTTTCATCAAATTTCCAATAATCGATTGGCAATGAAGGGAGACAAATTAGCAATAGAGTCCACAGAGAGAAATGGTTTACATTTTACATCAAAATCCATAAACCAGTCCCTCACTTGTTAGCTACATGTTATATACCAAAAATCTAGTAAAATGAATGTTTATGATAGAGAAAAGGTTAGGGGTTTTCTTATATGCGGAACTTCAGGCAAATAAAATAGAGAATAAAATAGAAGGTTTTTTTTATATGTACATGATAATATGCACACACAAAGAGGCGGGAATTAAGGCATGCTACGGTGCCATTTTAGCCTGTAGTAACCCCTAATTCATAAGACTCTTCATACTCCCAAGAAAAAGAAAAGACGTTTCATACTCTCCTTCATCTCTTCTTATTATGATGCTATAATCCTTTGCAGTAGCTAAAAATAAAGAAAGGGAATTTCAACCAATGAAGGGGTTGTAAAGAGAACGAAGAGTGGAGAGTGTATATGCCCCTCTCCATGGTGTTGGTGATGAAAACATGCAACTTGTTGAAAATTTTGATGGTTTTGAGGATGATAACAAAAGTGAAGATGATGATGGTTTGATCATGAGATTTATATACCTGGAGATGTTGGTGAAAGGGAACACTAGATATTCCCATTTACTAACGATGAGGATGATTTTAGGATTAGGGTTTTTTCTAGTGGAACAAATACCTGTGGAGAGGGTTCAGGTTGTGTTTTTTAATGCCCAACAAAGGAAAAAAAAAGGAGTATTGCTCTTGTGTATTGTGTTTTTCTCATTATCAAGTGAAGATGTAAAACTAAAACTTGTTATGTAACCACATGTGAAATATGGTTACAATTCTTCTTCCTCTCTCCACCACTGGCCATTGCATTAGATCAGTGATGTTTTCAACTACTTGACTTTGTCAGAAGCAAAGAGAACCACCCAAGTGCCGTTTGAAATCAGAGATGGAGTTTACCAAGCAACTAGAGATGCATATTGTCTATGCTTTGTGATATGATATTGTGTTTGATGATCATATATTGTGTCTCAACTCAAAAGCATATAACCTTTGTGGACATTCTTGATCATTTTCTCTTAGGTCACATTGGCCCCATTCACAAGTTTAGGCTTTCTCAGCTCTCTGCAAGTGGGGCTCTCTCTCTACTATGTCGTACTTTCTTACCATCTCTCCCATTCCAAGTAATCTTTTTAGTTCTTTCTATTTTATTTCTTTAAAGCGTATTTAAGTTCCAAATTTTTATTTTAGCTTTTCAATTTTGATCACAGGTTACCCTAAGATTCTCATTTTTCCTTCACTCCTATATTATATCACTGATTTACACTGAAATTTATTAGTAATAGGAAAAACATGTAAATGGTATTTTCCACTTCAATCTGTTTTTAATTAGGCCGGTCAGTTCTGGGTCCTGTGCCCATGTAGTGATTTTACCCTTTATTTATTTATTTTTTATTTCTATTCATGAAGAGGAAAAGAAAATCTGATGAGGACATCTTTGTCATATCCATTAGGGCTTACAAAGGAAAGAGGCGGAAGAGGAAATTATTTAATTTGGTCTTCAAATCTAACTTGTTTCCTAAATTTTCTAGTCTCTGGATTTCTTATTTGGTTTAGATTTGATTACCTTTTCTATGTAATTCATTATAGAGATTGGAAATTTGAGCTATTGAGTAAAGTTTATTTTGTAGAAATTGGAGAATTCTTGGCAAGCCAAGGCATCTTTATCCATCTATTTTATGTTTTTTCATTGTTTTTGCTTCGCTAAACTGCCTAAACCTATCCTACACAAAAATCCATAGCTTGAGCCACCCAAATAGGAAACACATAAATGGGTCCTTTTATAACAGATCTTCCAAACCCTATCATTCACACTATTCTACTAAAGCTCCCAACAAGGAGCATTCTCATGTGCAAATATGTATGCAAGACTTGGCATGGTCTAATTTCAAACATGTTGAAGAATATGAGTCCCACATTAGAAACTTGACTAAATGAAATACAAAATATTATGAATGGTTCTACTACTCATAATACCAAGACCTTTTGTAATAAAACCTTGCACCTACTGGGCTTTGTATGTGGTTAAGTTGGGGACAATATCGATGTTGTTAGTAGTGGGCCGCTGGCACGTCTCTATGAAATTTAACATGGTATCAGAGATGGTTGATTGACTGAGCCTGAATTGGGCATTTACCCTTACCCAATATGTAGTGTTCACATGTTGGGCTTGAATGTTTACCCCCTTACCCAATACGTGGTGTTCACGTGTTGGGCTTGAATGATTGCCAATGAGGACTTGGCTCCATGTGTGGCCCATTATGTGGTAGTCCCACGTAAGGGGGCGTGTTGAAGAATATGAGTCTCACATCGGAAACTTGACTAAATAAAATACAAAATATAATGAATGGTTCTACTACTAATAATACCGAGGCCTTTTGTGATAAAACTCTACTCCTATTGGGATTTGTAGGTGGTGAAGTTGGGGACAATATTGATGTTGTTAGTAGTGGGTCGCTGGCCCGTCTCTCTGAAATTTAACAAAACCCCGCATTTGCTAAGCTGCATTCCAATTTCCAACAAGCATGTCAAGAACCCTTTACTTGGTTGAGCCTGAAGATAGCTCTGGCTTTGATTTGAAGGACCATGATTGTAACCGATCTCGTGTTCTTTCCAAATATAAATTCCCATTGCGTGATGCTGAGGAGTTACTCAATAACCACCGGAATGGCATGACTAGTAAAGTAATTAATGCAATATGATCACAACAACTACAATGTGGTGAATTCGTGTAACGGTTTGCCTTGCTTGTCTGATATATTCTTGAATGTCCCTGCTACTGTGTGCAATCCGAAAACTAATCGCTTGAAATACCTAAACATGAGAAGACATGGATTTCAAGCGATAGTGGATTTGGTTTCAGTCCGAGAACTAATGAATATAAGGTGATAAGAATTCTTAATGAAGGGACACCTCATCCCAATAGGAATAGGGTGGTTGAGATACACAAACTTGGAACAGTTTCATGGAAATCTGCTGGCACTGCTCCCTGCTCAAGCCTCTAAGCTAGCATTCCCCATTTGTGTGAAAGGAATGCTTTATTGATTTTGAGATGATTGGCCTTGTTTTACTATAATTACAAATAATTTGTTAGTGAAGCACTTGCATAGTGCTTGCCCCTTTATTTATTTATTTTTAAAGTAACTCCATCTTCTCGAGTACTGCTTATAATTTCTCTCTGATTGGGCTTTCATTATTCTATGGTTCTTTACTTTCAACATAATTGGCTAAAAATTGTTTATGTTGGACAATAATATATACATTTTCATTTTGGAATAGTCTTATTATAAGTAGAAGCCACTCTTTCAAAAATCTCAATTAGCCATACCTCTTTTGAGGGACCGGGGCAAAGGATATGGGAATTTCTGGTTTTAAAAGAGAGAGTAGTCTCAAACTTTCTCTTCCCTCGATGCCATCCCTCACTCTCTTGCATCAAATGTACCGATTCATAGAGGTAGTCTCAAACTTTTTTTTGTTCTTATGTTTTTGGGCTTTCTTGTTTGGATGTCTCTTATTTCCTTCTTTATGTTTTAATTTAATTATGAATCTGATTTTTTTCCTTTCTTATTTTAATTTTCCTTTTTATTTTTGTAACTCTCTTCCACTACAACTAAGGATCAACGCCAAGAATCCTTTATTTTTTATTTGATTTTTATTTTCTTTTGGTGTTTGGGATTGAATCTATCTCGATATTTGGCATAAATTTAGATTGTTTAAACCAAATAAATGAAAATGCAATTCTGAAATGTTTCATATTGATTGTTGTTTGGTATCTGGTTCATGTTTATTTATGATGATCTGCATTTGTTCATTGCTTTTATTGATTTCTCGTCTAAGCCTAATAATATAAATTTATGATATGCATTTGTTTCAAGGCTTAATTATGTACATGCCCCCTGTGCTTTTACGTTTTTCTCAGATTACCACCTGTGGTGGAAATCGTCTCAAAGTACCCCCCAACGTATAAATAACCGTCTCAATTTACCCCATCCGTCAAATTTCTTGACGGTCCGTTACGAATAGTGGGCCCCACTTCGTTTTAACCTTTAAGCTGTTCGAATAAGGGTTTCTCAGTTTGTAACAAAGGGGAAATTGGGTTTAGGGTTCATTGGAGAAGAGGAGAAGAGGGTTGTTGTCAAAATCTGAGGGTTCCTTCGATTTTGGGAGAAATTGGAGAAGAAATCATTCGTTGGCGTTAGACTCTAAGGCTGGAAGGTGCGAAGATGGTGGTGCTTAGAGAATCTGGAGGTTGTCAACCCATATGTAAGTGGACCCATTGTTACTCGATTTTCTTGATTTTGGCATGTGCATTGAACTGTTGTTAGGATTTTGTTTTTGTTTTTTGTATACTTTTTGACTCTGCTGGTTCTTGTGTGATCATTGTGTGGTCCTTGCATGTTCCTAGTGTGGTGTGTTGCTCGAAATTTTTTTGTTCTTTCATATATTTTTTTATTCTGTGCTGGCCCCAATATACCTTATGTGGTCCTTGGGTGTTCCTTGTATTATCCTTTGTGTGGTCCTTCTTTTCTCTTTGTGTGTTTTTTTCCATTTGTTAAGTGAATGTTCCTATTACGCAGATAAAGATGCTGATGAGGTTGTCACATTTAAGTTTTTCCATGGAGGTAAACTAGTGAAAAATAGAAAGGACAGTCAGTGGTCTTATTTAGGTGGTGAAGTCAGTTGGTTTGATTACTGTGAGGTTGACTATATGTCCATGTTAGAGCTATTTGGAATGGCTAAAGATTTGGGATATGGCGATGGGTATGATGTGAGTTTTTATGGTGAAGAGTTTGGAACTAGCAGACTCATTCAAATAATATCTTATAGTACACTTTTAGCTTGTATGAGCATGGTACCTAAAAGCAATAGCAGGGTTGTAGTTTTGTACTTGAAGGTAGTGAGCTTAACTTCAAGCCAAGTGGGGAATGATAGCAGTGATAAAGAATATTCTTGTTCTGAGAATGATGATAGCAGTGATCCAGACTTTGAAGACAGTGACTATGCACAGAGTGATGAAGAGATTGAATTATTGAAGAATGATGATAAGTGGTTTGAAGGTTATGTGGATCATAGTATTTTTGACAATGATCCTAATGCAGAGCAAAATGATGAGTCAGACAATGGAGAAGAGTCACCTACACTTACCTGCCCAAATAGTTCACAAAGTGAAGATGATGCAGTGGGTGAAGTAAGAAGGAAGAAGAATAGGATGCCAAAAGGTGAAGATTTCAGACCTGAAATTGATATGGGAAGCCCAAGTTTCAAAATAGGTTTAAGGTTTGCAACTGCCGAGTTGTTTAGAAAAGCTGTGAGGATATACTCCATTAATTGTGGAAGGGAGTTGATTTTTATGCATAATGACCGTAACAAAATAAGAGCAGTATGTGAAGAGGGCTGTCCTTTTGTTATCTATGCTTCAAGTGTTAGTGGTAGCACTTACCTGCAGGTGAAAACCTTTAATCCTACACATGTTTGTAGCAAGGGGACTAAAAATATACATGCTACTGCTGGCTGGTTGGCTGAAAGATATTCTGGGCAGTTAAGGCTCAATCCAAATTGGACTGCTTCTTCTTTTGTAGAGCAAGTTCACCAAGACTATGGTTACAGACCATCTAGAGCAACTGTGTACAGAGCAAGAGCCATGGCAGTTGACATTGTAGAGGGGTCTTACAGCAAACAATATGAAGTATTGTGGGAATATTGTCATGAGTTAAGAACCAGGAATGTGGGAAGTACAGTTATCATTAAATCTGAAATGGAAGGTGATAGGCCACGGTTTCAAAGAATTTACATCTGTCTTGCAGCCTGCAAGAAGGGGTTTTTAGATGGTTGTAGGCCTGTGGTTTGCTTGGATGGGTGTCATGTCAAAGGGCCTCACCCTGGGCAAGTGCTTTCTGCAATGGGAGTTGATGCAAACAACGGAATGTTTCCACTTGCCTATGCATATGTAGAGATTGAGAGCAATTCAACATGGCTGTGGTTTTTAGAATTATTGAGTGGTGATCTCAATATTACGAATAGCCATGGTTATGTATTTATGACTGACAAACAAAAAGGGTTAATAGATGCTGTGAATGCTCTATTCCCTCAGGCAGAGCATAGACATTGTTTGAAACATCTATATGGGAACTTCTATTTGGAACATAGAGGTCTTGCCTTGAAACATCAAATGGAAGCAATTGCTAGAGCCACAACAGTGCCATGGTTTCATGCAGAGATGACAAAGATGTTGCAGTTGTCTAAACCTGCACATGATTGGCTCATGGAGAAAGATCCTAGGCATTGGAGTAGGGCATATTTCAAGACTGATTCCAAGTGTGACATGCTTATGAACAATCTATGTGAGGCATTCAACCGTAGCATACTAGATGCCCGAGACAAGCCTATTCTGACTATGCTAGAAAGAATTCGGTTGTATATAATGTTGTTGATGGCGGGAAGAAGGGTTCTCTGTGAGAAATGGCATGGACAAGTTGGGCCAAGAATTAGAAAGATATTAGAGAAAAACAAAGCAAAAGCTCAGTGGTGCATTCCTAAGGCTGCTGGACAGAATCAGTTTGAAGTAATGCACCATAGTGGCCGCACCTTTGCTGTTGATTTGAATGGCCACTCTTGTTCATGCCATGCTTGGGATTTGAATGGAATACCATGTTTGCATGCATGTGCTGCAATAAGTTGGTTTCATGGGAATCCAGAGGACTTTTGTGATGCAGTGTACAAGAAAGAGGCTTATTTGAGAGCCTATCAACCAATGATTATGCCTATGACTAGCCAAGATCAGTGGATGAAGGTTAATTTACCTCCATTACTCCCTCCGAAATACCACAAGCAGCCTGGTAGGCCTAAGAAGACAAGAAAACAAGCTGTTGAAGAACCTAAACTTCCTTCTAATCCATATAAGCTTCCTAGGTATGGTTTACCTTTAAAGTGTGCCAATTGCGGTGGAGAAGGGCATAATCGAAGTGGTTGTAAGGTATGTGGTTTTTAGAATTATTGCTTTACATTTAAATGTATTTGATTTGGTTTCTGACTTGATGAATGTGGTTATTAGGAACCTAGAAATCCCAACATAAAGCCTACTAGGAAGAGGAACATTGCCAAGGACAAACTTGCAGTAAGTGCCACAGTTTCAACTATGTTTTCACTCATCAAAATTTTATATCATGGAAACTTCTAATTATTATTTGTTTTAGGTAAGAAGGAGAGATGGTGGAGACCAAAGTGGCGGACAACAGAGTATGCAATTAAGGCAAAGGAAACAGTCAAGCACTTCCCAAGGGCCTTCTCAATCCCAGGCATCTCAAGTAGCTGCTGCTTCTCTATCCCAACCATCTGAAGCAGCTGATGCTTTTCAATCCCAGCCATCTCAAACACCTGAACCTGCCAAATTATCTCGAGTACAACAACGTCGGAAGAGGATGAAAGATCAACAGAGGAGCCATTTTGTCAAAGATCCTTTTTTTCATCCTTGAATGTTGTGGAAGACTTTAATGGTTGTTGGTTGTTATGTTTGGAACCTGTTAATGTATGTTACTGTTTTGGAACATTTAAATGTATTTGATGTATGTTATGGTTTGAATATTTGATGTATGTTATGGTTGGACCTGTTTTGGAACCTGAATATTTAATGTATGTTATGGTTGGAACCAATTTTGGAACCTATTTTGGTTTGTGCATATTTCCTGAGGTTGTTATGGTTGGAATCTGTTTTGGAACCTGTTTTGGTTTGTGCATATATTGCTAAGATATATGTTTTGGAACCTGTTTTGGTCTGTTTTGGAATCTGTTTTGGTCTGTTTTGGAACCTGTTTTGGTTTGTGCATATATTGCTAAGATATATGTTTTGGAACCTGTTTTGGTCTGTTTTGGAATCTGTTTTGGTCTGTTTTGGAACCTGTTTTGGTTGGAACCTGTTTTGGTTTGTGTTCTGTTTTGGAACCTTTTCTGTTTTGGTTTGTGCTTATAATGACAGGTGCTTTTGCTAGTTTTGGGCTTTGCCTCTTGC